ACCCAGAAGTTCGATTGCCTGCCGCCGAACCAGCGCGGTAAGTATAGACAAGCCCAAAGAAGACTCTGCACTAAATCTTAGCTTTCGCTAGTATGAAATTGCCCTGAAAAACGGGAATTTCAGCTTTGCATGTTGTTCATATTTGGGTTAGGGAGCTCTGTGGGGAAAAAGTATTTTGAATTTGTTCTTATTATATTAACAGTAAACAATATAATAAAGAGAGAAAAAAATCAGAAGGAATCATTTAGAATGTGAGTTAATGTAGAAACTTAGCTGGAATAACTTGAGCTCTTTAGTACTGCAGGCCACATAATTGCTAGTGGCCAGATTCTGCTCTCTTTACTCACATACTCTGCAATTAGTCCTGTTGATTTACTTTTTGTGATTAAAATAAGCAGTTATGATTCTTAATATAGGGACCGAATCAGCTGAGAGAGATGGTGCCATTTTTTTGCCGTCACTTTTCAAAGAACAGGAAATTAATTGTGGTACACTGTTGTGTCACCAATATCTAAGTTCTTGCTAAGCCTTTTTATTTATTCTTTAAGAATAACAAAATCCACCATTTCCTAAAATCTGCAGTGCTAAAACCCTCACACACACCTTGGTCAACATTTGTCATGGCTATTAATTATTACTATTATTGTAACCTCCTCTACGCCCTCTCCCCTGTTCCGGTCAATTCAAATGCTGTTTATGCCTATGGCCTCTTCCTTTCCTGTCACTCTGAGCGTGTCACTGTTCTATGTAAGTTTACAGTGCCATACTGGTGATTTTTAATACTGAGAGAGATAACTGGAATAGAAGTTGCCTATCCAAAATATTTGCAGTATTTTATGTTGCTATATATGAGTTCAGTGACTCACATATCAAAGGTAATTATTTCATGGTGGTGCAATACCTAGGTTGCCACATACTATTCCATTAAAGTATATTTTGATTAGTTTCTTTTTACCATTAATCATTTTTAAGGTAAAGCAATAGCCAAAAACAAAGAGTAACAGGCTTACAGCAATGCTTGTTGCATTATTTAAAACACTTCAAATGTTTTTTTATTCTGCTAGTTATTAGCCCAGGTAAGACAGGAGATCCGAAAGAAAGAAGATGTGATTAAAGAGAAGATTCGCTTTTTGGCAAACGAGACCGGGAACAACGTGGAGTATGAAAAGAGAATTTCTGTTGCTGACCGGCAAGCTGCCAAACTCAGATTAGATTACCAAAACCAAGATGCTTATAGAGTTCAACTCCAGGATGAGGTAATAGCGGCTAAATGCTTCAGACAAAAGTAAAAATAAAAAAATCCTAACTTTTAATTAATGAAATGAATGTGACAACAAAAATGCAGAAATATATGGTGAACTCTTTCATTTTCTGGTACAACTGTTATGTTGTAACAAAATGTCTACAATTGCCAATGCAGTGCTGGGCATTGGCGTTTGAATCCTGAGCTTGGTCTTTGGCTGGTAATGCTGCAGAGGAGGAAGCATGTAGCCATTGAGAAAGGGAGTGTTTCTTTCGAATGGCTGGCTGAATTGTTTCCCTTAAACAGTATCCAGTCTCTGACAGTGACTACTAAATGCTTCAGAGGAAGGTATAATAAGAACATAAGAATGGCCATAATGGGTCAGACCAAAAGTCCATCCAGCGCAGTATCCTGTCTGCTGACAGTGGCCAATGCCAGGTGCCCCAAAGGGAATAAGCCTAACAGGTAATGATCAAGTGATCTCTCTCCTGCCATCCATCTCCACCCTCTGACAAACAGAGGCTAGGGACACCATTCCTTACCCATCCTGGCTAACAGCCATTAATTGACTTAACGTCCATGAATTTATCCAGTTCTCTTTTAAACCCTGTTATAGTCCTAGCCTTCACAACCTCCTCAGGCAAGGAGTTCCACAGGTTGACTGTGTGCTGTGTGAAGAAGAACTTCCTTTTATTTGTTTTAAACCTGCTGCCCATTAATTTCATTTGGTGGCCCCTAGTTCTTATATTATGGGAACAAGTAAATAACTTTTCCTTATTCACTTTCTCCACATCACTCATGATTTTATATACCTCTATCATATCCTCCCTTAGTCTCCTCTTTTCCAAACTGAAAAGTCCTATCCTCTTTAATCTTTCCTCATATGGGACCCATTCCAAACCCCTAATAATTTCAGTTGCCCTTCTCTGAACCTTTTCTAATGCCAGTATATCTTTTTTGAGATGAGGAGACCACATCTGTACGCAGTATTCAGGATGTGGGCGTACCATGGATTTATATAAGGGCAATAAGATATTCTCCGTCTTATTCTCTATCCCTTTTTTAATGATTCCTAACATCCTGTTTGCTTTTTTGACTGCCGCTGCACACTGCATGGACGTCTTCAGAGAACTATCTGCGATGACTCCAAGATCTCTTTCCTGATTAGTTGTAGCTAAATTAGCCCCCATAATATTGTATGTATAGTTGGGGTTATTTTTTCCAATGTGCATTACTTTACATTTATCCACATTAAATTTCATTTGCCATTTTGTTGCTCAATCACTTAGTTTTTCCCCCTCTTTACCACACATATCATGCATCTAATTTTGTAGTACTTTAACATGGTGAAAAAAAAAATTCTTCACTTCTCCAGATGATCACCATTTTATGCTCTGAAGAATGATCTGACAGCCCTAGTAATTTTGTCCTAATTAAAATAACTGTAGAGACTATTCATTTTCATAAAGCTACCCAATAAAGAGGCAATATGGGGTAGTGGGTTGGTTGGTACATCTGTAAAAATGGGAACAATACCTGCATCCCTCCTTCAAAGGTGTATTTTGAGGATTAAACTGCTAACGTTTATAAAGATGTTGGAATGTATAAAATGCTAAGTATTACTCTCTTGTTGAACTATTTACTTCAATTATATCTTGCTGCAAAAAGTTCCACAGATTAATTTTGTGTGGCATAAAAATATTTCCCTTTATACATCTTAAAACTTGTTTAATTTTTATGAAGTGTCTATGTGTCCTCGTACCTCATAATCCTCCCTTAACTTAACCAAAATAATGTTGTGCAATCAGCAAAGTTTGGGCCAGCACTTTTGTTGGATTCACACCATTGCCAGTGCCCATATGGAGCCTCATTGAAGTAATTGGGACTCCACATAAGCACCAGGGTTTGCTCACACAGATGCAGTTGCAGGATCTGGTCCTATTCTTTCTTCTTGATAATTAAATAATTAAAATGTATAGGGTCAGATTCTCACCTGGTGTACATCAATCTGATTTCATGGGTTTTGCCAATTTACACAAATTGAGAATCTGGACCATTTTTTTTTCATTTAGAGAAAACACTTTAAAACTATCTAGAATAATCTTTGCATTGTAGGAATACAGGTTTGTTATCACCACTAGCAAATCTTTTGACATTTTTGATGGGGCACCGGTGGCGGATTGTTAATATTTATGTACTTACAAGAGAAAGTATAATCCAGTTTCTGGTGTTGGTAATGCTTAACAGTAAGTGAAATTTCTGAAAATTAATTGTTTATAAATGTACTAAAATGTTTCACACTACAAAATAGAGTAAGTGATCCCTTTTACTTACTTATTTATTTATTTATTAGCTGGATACTTTAAAAGCCACTGTGGACAGAACTGCTTCTGATTTAGAATCTCTGAGAACAGAAATGGCCAATCTGAAGAAAGAAATCCAGGAAAAACATGTCAGGTAAGAAAGATAAACTTTTAGAAAAAGTTTATAACATTCTGTAACAATCAGATCTTTGATCAAGTTATTCATACCTTAAATATGGAACCTTAAATAATGTTGGATACTTAAGTAGTCAATTAGCAGGATATTTTGTGACACAGCTAGACTGTCCTAGTTACTCTTTGGACAAAATAGCCTTGAAATACTCCCTGTGAGTCTCATCTCAGAGGAGGGGGGAAAAAAATCTGTGTGGGCCCTGGTTGTCATCTTATTTTTATTTAATTTTTGAAATTGTGATAACAGACAGTGTCCATAACAGTTGTCTGAGATGGACCTAAGTACTCTACACAGTTACATGCCTTTAGATGAATATAATGAATTGTTTTATTAGATTTACTTCTCAATCAACTGCTCTAAACATTTTTAGCAGTGTTTTTTGTGTACCCTTCATTTTAACCCATTGTGCCTTGTAACTTTGTTCAGGCTAAGCCATGTTAAAGACCAGAATGTGAATCTTTCAAATAAACTGAAGTTTGTGACTGAGAAGACATTGAGTTTAGAAGAAAAAGCTTTCAGGATGGAAGAAATACTAAAAGAAGAGGAGAAAATTGTTAAAGTAAAACCTTTTTGACAATATCTGCCACTGAGGATTAATGTAGACTTTACAGGTTGTGTTTGCGACAAGCATTTATGTATGGATTAAAATGGAATTTATTTATTAATTAATGTGACCTGCATCCATTCCCCCTCAAACATTAAAGTATGCAGAATTCAGTTGGATCAGTACTTGGATAGGAGATCCCTAGGGAAAGCCTTGGTGTTGTGCATAGTGGTATGTGGATTTGATAGGTGGCATTCTTCCCTCTGAATTGGTACTGAATCAAGGCATGGTATTGAGGGGGCACTGTCAAGTGGAACTGCCATCTTTCAGATGCGATGTAACCTAGATCTTGACCACTTGTGGTTATTAAACATCCGATAGAATTTCTAGACAAAGGTCATTTAATCCCAGATTTGTGGCTAAATTTTAAGGAGCTATTACTAGAAATGGGCAGAGAATATTAATTCCATTTCACGGAGGATTTTAAGATTTTGAAATCTGATTTTGTTCTGAGTCAGAATGAAAACCAAAAAGCTCACATTTCTACACAAAATGGAATAACCATTCTCTATCCACATCTACTGGGAGCCAGGGACTCTGGAAGCTCTGGGAGCTTGGGATGCTGAGGAACTGTGAGCCTGTATACTCTGGGAGTCTAGGATTTTCAGGTCCTTGGATCCCCATCAGCCTGGCAGATGAGCTTTCCTATATTTTATTTTAAAAATAAATAAATAAAACACCAAACTCCCTGTTTCCCAATTTGTTAATAAGTCTTTATAAATATGTTTAGCCTCTGACAGATCTGATATGAACCTTTGACATTTTACTTGATGATAGGGTATGGGAGGCTCTAAAGTTGTAAGATGACCTCATTACACAAGTGTCAGAACAGGTGTTCTCAAACAAGTGACAACAAAAACTACAGTCATGCACACCATCACATACTGTATTTTGTTTCTGCCACTTATTTTTCCCAAACTCTGTCTTATTTTTCAAGCAGTAGCTGTGTGAAATGCTGCTCTCATGATAGGATTTGGGACTTATTTCATAAACTTTGCTGTTGTGTTATAAAGTTACTATGTACATTAAATTGCACGTTGAATATTAACACACAGTTTAGAGAAAATGAGCCGTAGCTATATACATAGATTTTAAAAAATAGGGTTTGCTATTAAAAAAGATTAAATAATGCAGAAAATCTGAAAACTAGCTGGAATTATATAACATTTCTGTAAATTGAAAACTGCATTTGCTTTCTCATAAATCTGTTACTAGGGTGGCTAAGCCATTAGCAGGGTTTCTTTACTTACATATGTGGCGGATAACCCAAGCTGACACTGAGCTTGGCAGCTCTACAGCCTCGGGGTAATATTTTAAATAAGATGAACTGTTCTTGAACAATGTCTGTAATGTATTAGTCAGAAGCATGCTTTCCATCAACATTAGGCATGCATGTCTATTCGCCACATCTATTAATTTACTGTGAAAAGATATTTACTGAGAACAATACAGACAAAATCCTATTCGTTGCTTGTGCTTCATGATGTCTCCTGGACTCTGTAGCAAAACAGTGTTGTGGGGACTGATTCTTATCTAATGCCCATATCTATTTTTGGGGACCTCTTTTTAAAAGGACGAAAATGTTTTTAAAATACATTTAAAAATACAAAAACTGCTTAAGTCCTTAATGACTAAGGGCCAAATTCTGATCCTATTTGAGTTGACAGTTTTGCCATTGTTTTCATTAGTTAAAAAAATTGGCCCTAACTGAACACATAGGTGGTCATAGAAATTAAAAATAAATATGTATTAAAAACAAATTTAAAAAATAATTTCCTGTCTTAGGGCCTGGTCCAAAAGCCATTTCCCATTGACTTAAGTGGGCTTTGGATCAAGTCCATACTTGCCCCCAAGTTCCTGAGTTCAGGGTTCCATAATTCTCCTTCAACACTTATTCCAAAAATAAAACTTTCCCTTTCAACCCACCTGCCTTCAAGACATCTCTCAATGTTATTAACAACGGTGGGAGAAATGCAAAACTTTGAATTCAAGTCTTGGCAAGTAGAAATCCTTTGTTGTTGTTTTTTAACAGTTAAGCATATTATTTTGTTAATGATTGAGTTTTTGTATATATATATTTCTAATACATTTCAGGCCACATTAATGTTTTTTACCTGTCATAATTAGAGTTCAAGATTCTATCCCACTACAGTTGATGACATCGCTAACACCTAAAACAGAGCAAGGAGCTGAATTTCCTACATTGCTTCAGGTGTTAATGGTATCAACTAGTAGCATAGAAACCTCATCTTAGGTCCTGGCAGGTATGAAAAGAATGAAGTGATTTTAAAATGTATGAATATATTTTAAAACAAAACTATATTATATACACATATTCTGCTATACATTTTGATTGTTAAACAATCTTGAAAAAACATATTGTAAGTCATTTGTAAGAAATCAGTACAAAAAAGCAACCCTATTTTACAGGTGTATATTGGAAGGCAATGAGGGGTAAGACTGGAAAGAGGCAAGAATTTATAGTTTGCTGAAATGGAGAAGAGACTAAAACAGACAAAAGTCCTCGAAAGTGCACTCCAGTACTTTTGAAAGGACAAAACGTTAAGGACACACTTTTATCCTCCAAAATCAAAGACTTTTTAAACCAGCAAACAGTTTCTGAAACTTCTGATACTAAAATTTCATGCTTCCAATACCTCACATGTAGAATATTTTATATGTATCATTTTTTTCTATGAATGATAAAGACAAATGTGTGTTTCTGCAAGGCATTACCCAAAACTGACTTTTTGAGTGTTTAATGAGTAATTTATCATCAGGAAAAAGAAACACAAATGAACCAGTTGAAAGAACTCCATTTCAAGAAAACTCAGGAGTTACAGATACAGCGGGAGAAGGAGAAATCTATTATTGCAGAAATCGAGGGAACCCGAGCATCACTTAAAAACCTTAACAGTCGTTTACGCATACTTGATGCAGACACCTTAAAGCAACAGGAAATCATGTATAATCAGGTAAAAGTATTAACAAGCCCTCAATTTCATTTGTGATCGTTCTTTGGGACTAACATATGAATAGCTTGTTTGGGTTTTTTCTGTCTTTAACTGCTTAGAAAATGCAGTTTCTGAAATGATCAGTGCTTGTGATGAGTTTTGCAGTTCCATCTCCCCAGGTGCGTGAATGAAATTGAGTGTGTGTACGTGAATTATTTTTTGTATCTTCCGTTCTCACTTTAATTTCCCAAATCAATTCTTCACTTTGACTCCTCTGAACTACTGATGCTTCGGGGTAAATTTTCGAAGTGATACAAGAGAGGTACATGCCCAAATCCTGTTATTTGCTAATGGGATTTATGTGCATATCTCCTATGCACTACTTTGAAAATTTGCCCCTTTATATCAATTTCCACTGGTGAGGCAAGATTGCAACACTGCTGTAAGCCTCCCTATAGCTGACTCCCTATCTGTGCAGTGTGTGCTTTGTTACACTTTTAGGAGATTACTTATGATCCATCATCACACACCAGTCATTTAAGAGTATTTTGTTAATGTTTCACATTAAAATGAGAAGGCTATAGGCCATATATTATTGTAAAATAACAATAGCTTAATTAGGCAACTGTCCTAAAGCCAAAATTTAGTTCCAATGTTTATATGCAATGATTTAGCATTATAGAAAGAGCTATAATTATTTATCTCAGTCTCTCAATTTATTTTTTAAATATAATTTTAACAGGATTTTTATATTCAGCAAGTGGAACGACGACTGTCACGGTTAAAAGGGGATGTTAATACAGATGAAAGGCAAGTTCTGGAAGCTAAAGTTGTCGAACTTACAAAGACCTTAGAAGAAAAGAAAGATGCATATAATCTTTTACATGCCCAGCACAAGAAACTTCAGGTAACTTACTTACAATATCATCTTTGCTGATATAAATTTTAGAAATCGTAACAAATTAGTTTAGGGAGATTTCTTCTTTATTCGTTCATCTGGTACTAGGATGTGTGAACTTCATGTAAGTTACACAGATAACCTCAATTTACACTCCTCTGATGCTTTAAATCTACTTTATTTTCAAGCAATCGGAGCTAAAAATGAAACTTTTCAAATTTTTCTTCACAATAAGGCATCAGTAAGAGACTATTATTTTATAATATTGTGTTCCATTGACACTAGCTCTTATGTATTACAGTATAATTGCATTGTTTTTGTCCAATTAGGAGTAAAGTTTTTATTGTTTAAAGGGAAAAATGTTGAAGTTCACAGGCCCAAAGGTTGACCCAGTTCTTGTACAAGCAACTTTTTTCTTGTTTTTAAAATGTTCCTCTAGGCCGGTTTGTTTACCTGCCATGTCCGCAGGTTCAGCCGATTGCGGCTCCCAGTGGCTGCGGTTCGCTGCTCCAGGCCAATGGGAGCCAATGGGAGCCGCTGGAAGTGGCGCGGGCCGAGGGACGTACTAGCCCTGGAGCAGTGAACCACGGCCACTGGGAGCCACAATTGGCTGAACCTGTGGACATGGCAGGTAAACAAACCGGCCCGGCCCGCCAGGAGCTTTCCCTGAACAAGCGGCGGAACAAGTTTGGGAACCACTGCTCTAGGAGATCTTATATATTACAAGTCACCCAATTTGCATATTCAAGTTACTTTACTTGCAAGCACAGTTACAGTGAAATGTATAAATGCACCTAAATTGTTTCAACATCAGCCCATCATGAGTTTGACACACCAATATTTGTGGTTTTTGTGTATACACGTATAACTTCTCCTCTCACCCCCAGGTTATCCCCCAAATTTTGGCCTTTATTTTGTTTCTTTTTAAACAATTTTCAGACTATGAAGACTTGCTCCTCTAAGTAAGAAAAGTCTAATTTAAAATGCAGCATTGGAGCATATCATGAGTAGTTTATTAACGAGAAGCTTAAGCGATAACTTGATCATGGTCTATAATTACCTATATACGGAGAAGATATTTGATGCTAGAGGGCTCTTTAGTCTAGTAGACAAAGATACAATAAGATCTAATGGCTGTAAGTTGAAGTCGTCAAAGTTCAAACTGGAAATAAGATGCACATTTTGAACAACTAGTGTAATTAAACATTGAAATAGATGTCCAAGGGATGTGATAAATTCTCCATCTCTTGGGAGTTTTACCCAAAATTGGATGTCTTTATAAAAGATATGCTCTCTATCGTTCAACCATAAATTGCTGTGGTAGATAACCCAGGCCATAGAATTTCAGTGTATGTAGGAGGAAAGACTAGATGATCATAATGGTCCCTCCTGGCCTTAAAATCTATGACTGCATGAATATGAAGGTTGTGTATTGATGTCATAAAAGGGTTGCTTGCACCCCGCCTAAAATATTTCAGTAGCACCATGGAAAAGAACCCATTGTGCTAGGCACTGTACAGACAGTACAAAAATATAACAGAGAGCGTCCCTGTCCCAAAGAGTTTATAATCTGTAATTTTTAATTAATTGCTAGTATTTGGTGTAATCTGTTTCCAGTGTAATGAACTAAAAGCTATTTATTTTCTAACAGAGCGATGTCCATTTTATCAAGAGAGCGATGGATAAGACAGGAGAAGAAATGACTGGTCTGATGATCAGAATAGATGAACTAAACCTTTTCAATGACAAATCAGATAAAGAGTTAAAAAAAGCCAAAGCTCTTAAGCAGGTATGATGATATTTTGTGGCTTTTTACTAATGGAAAGTATGAGGTTTTTATTTTGTTTTGTTTTTTAAGAATAAACCATCTAAACACTCTTAATTAATAGTTCGGGGATTCTTTTCTACTTTCTTTTGTGCAGGGTCATCTCCTCCCAGAGGGAAACCCTCTGGAGTTTCCTGGTCTTTCAGCCTCCCTGTAAGACCCAGATCTTCAAATGGACAGTTTAATGGCTATTGTCCCATTAGTTGATAGTGTCTGGGGAGGGTGTAGAGGAACTGTAGCCTCTTATCACCTCAAGTCGTAGGGCTCCATTGGGAGTTCAATTACCATTGATTAAGTCCCTTGTATTTATGAAGCAATATCCATTTGGAGAATGCTTTGCTGCCAGAGACGTATTACTTATGTTTCTTTGAGAAATCATTAATCTGAAAGTAGCATTAATTACAGATAGAATATCCATGGAATTGGCAAGGGATAATGTTGTGAACCCCAATTGTTCCTTCTACCCAGTCTCCAAAGCCTTGTGGAACCACAGCTCTAAGGTGACCTTACAGAGGGACTTACATGGAGAGGGAAAAGGAGGAGCTAAAACTCTTTGGCTAGCATGCCCCAAACCCAGATGTTCACCCTCCAACTTTGAGACTGATGGGATGTTCTGGCTCACTAATTTAAATATTATATAACAACAAGTAGGATGCACCAAGTACACATAATAATTGGTTTCCCTTCCACTTTCATCCTTTTTGCAAAAATCTTTTGTTTTTCTTATGTTCTAAAGTCTGAAACTAAGACTTTTTTTGTGTTTGCTTTTTATTTCTCCCAGCATGGCTCATCAGCACAACCTTGGGAGTATGAGTTTGGTAATGTAGGCTCTGTATAAATCACAGCTATCCTTCTGTTTTATTTTGATTTCTTAATTAGAACCAATTTTTGTAAAAGTCCTATTCTTCCTTTTGCTGTGAGAGACAAGGGAGAGGTGCAAAAACCCCTGAAGCACTTGAAAAAGTGCAGCGGGAGCTTTGCAACAAGCACTTCCCTATCCTTTTCCCTGTCCCCAAGAGAACTCTGGGTGGTCAAGGCTCTGCTGAGACTACAGCGTAAAACAATAACCTAAGGCTCAGTTCTGGTTATTGTGATACAGAAATATTGTTTAAAGAGTGCTTTACAGGAAACTGGAATTTCTAAAAATGTGTCAGTTTAAAAATAAATCAAGTTGAAAAGCATACCTGCCTTTTAATTTTGTATTATTTCTCTTCTTGGCATTTGATAGGATTTGATGATTGAAGATAATCTCTTAAAATTGGAATTGAAACGTCTTCGAGATACGCTGTACAACAAGGCAGAGCAAGTTCTCTCACTGGAAAAACGAAAGCTACAGTTAAATACAGCTATGGAAGAAAGAACTGAAGAAATTAAGGTTCACAAGGCAATGATTGAATCACAGATAAGATTTGTGGAGCAGGAACGGCAAAGTGTAAGGTAGTTACCATGTATTTTCAAAACATTACCTCCAATGTTCTTAACAGTAAATGGAAAATAGAAACACAATACATTAAGATGTTTTCCAAAATGTCTGGGTGAACTGTGGTCAGTTTACAATTTTCCTCTCTTAAACGTTTCAAAAATCAGCCAGTAGATTCTCTGTCTTTGAATACAGCATTAATAAATTAATTTCTCGGACATCATTTTTAAATCACTTTTATATAGTGTCTTTCATGTAGGATCTAAAAGTGTTTACAAAGGGAGGTAAATATTATCCTTATTTCCCAAACAGAAAGATTGAGGATTGTAAGTGACTTGCCCAAAGTCACACAGCTAGTCAGTAGAAGGGTTGGGAATAGAGCCCAAGTCTCTTGATGCCAATCTCTTGCTTTAACCACTAGGCAAATATCTCTTTACTCTCTGCTATCCCCCATCCTATCCTGAACAAGAAATCATCATTTGTCCAATATGGAAATATGTCATCTGGTATTGTAAGGAATCTGTAATTGCATACCTACAGACATCCAGAATCTCTTTAAGCTCGAGTGGTAGAGGTCTGGGCTTTTGAAGGCAAAGATCCTATGTCTGACCCTCCACTGCTGCATTTGTTCAAGATAGCTGGTGACTACATTGTCTGTATATTTAGAGCTAGTTATAATAGCTAGTTAGAACAGCCAAGTCATTTTTTATGAGAGGACCTACTCATCAGGAATAAAGTAGCGGAGAAAACTCTGGTCTTCATTGGTGACCCAGTAAGTGAACAATTCTTACAAGCATTCTGAGAATCTCCATTAACAGTCCCTTGTAGTAGAGCTTTTAATCTCCTGTAGACCAGAAATGGTACACATACACCAGTTAGTTGATTACACTGTGGTAAATGGATATTAGAAAGTTACAAGAAAGCACAGACTTCTTTGTTGCCTTCATAATAAGAGAATTAATTCAAAATATTTGTTATCTTTATTTCTGACCTCCTAATATCGGTCTTGTAGTGAGTGGTTAAATCTAACTAGGAAGCTAGCAAACACTCAACAGCTGAGTTGGCAGGGTTTTATTCACCCTTCTGCGAACCACACCCCACGCAATAGGAAATTAGAGTGATTTAGTGTGACTAAAGCTTAACTCCTCACCCAGAGCGCAGACTGTATGTTTTTCCTTTGACAATTACGCAGCTAATTAGTACTTGCCTGTAATTTGATTTGGGGTTGTTGCCTGCTGTTGATTATTCTCATTTAGCAGTAGCAATATTAAGAAATGATCAGCAGGGGGCATCTTGTGCAGCTGTAGGACTTAAATGCCAAAGCTTTAAAATTTGGGGCTTGGGGGAGGTATATTACAGAGCTCCCTGTGATGCGAAGGATCTGAAATTTGTCCACTTTAAGCAGTAGTGTGAGAGAAGTTGTGGGCGAGGGACGAGGACCAGATGTCTGGAGTTGGGGAGGACTGGGAACAAATAAGCCTACTTGACAGCAGTAGCAGTACTGCTTTCATGGCTGGCTCCCTGTGTATGTTCAAACTACTGTGGTAGCAGCAAGTGCAGCTATAATAGAAGAAATAGCCTATAAAATGGTACAAGACAGAAACATATATTTTCTTAAACATCTCAATCAATGTGTGTTCACTTTCTTCCATCAATCAGTGCTGAATTTCAAGACCGTCTAAGTAAAATTGAAAAACTAAGATGCAGATATGAAATTCTTACCATCGTCATGATGCCTCCTGAAGGAGAAGAGGAGAAAACTCAGACGTACTATGTCATTAAGGTAGTTGAGTTACTTTACTGCTGGAATGCTTTTAATCAACTAAAAACTTTTCCATTATCATCATAAGTATTGGTTTAAACTATAGCTTCCCCTATTCTACTCCAGTTTCAACTCCCTCATCTCCAAGACAAACACCTTGACCTCCCACCTGTTGCCTCTGTTGGAGAAAGGTCTTAGGCTGCATTCTTTCCTGATGTCTTGGGGAGATGACTCTTTGCCCCTATTCCCAGAGTGCAGGATCTTCTAACCAGTCTGCTCTTCTGAATGGCATGTGAAATATCAGGACCTTGGCCCAAAATGCCTTGCAGGACATCCTGCAGTTTACTCTCATGCTTTCAGTTATACTCAATTTGGAAAAGGATTTAAACAAAATAATTATGGTACAGATTTCAGCTGACTACTACTTCAGAGCTAGATTTCAGTAAAACTCTAGTTTAGGCCCCAGTCCTGCAAGCGGCTCTACGTGGATGAAACCTGGTGCTCACACAGTGCACCACTGATTTAATTTTTATTTGTTTCAAAAATTTGAAATGAACTTACCTGTCTGGTCAATCTGTTTTATAGGTCACAGCAGATATTATAGCCACTCTATTGAAATCCCCATCCAAAAGGAAAGGAGTAATCATAGTGTTCTCTTTTAGTCTTAAATTTGTATAATCCAAGAACAACGTTATAGTTAGAGAGTGTTTTGGACAACTTATCTCACCATATGGTTTTCAAACCTAGAAGCAGAACTTTCTGGCTACTTAGTAGCTAAGGCTTCTACTGTGAGCACACATGTGAACTCCTGTGCCCACATAGAACTCCAGGGAAATCAGCTCTGCATAGGTGCTCATGACAAGATCAGGCTCGAAGATTAATTTCTTGTAAGAGTATAGAAAAAGATTTTGTTCTATAAGAAGTATTCTTCTGTTATTGTCATGATATTATTAGTATGTTTCAGTAAGACCCATGCAGCCCAGAGACAGCCATCACAATATGTCTGTTTGATTATTTCTCCCTTAGATCTCTGTTTTTATTTTTAGGCTGCCCAGGAAAAGGAGGACCTTCAGCGTGAAGGTGATGACTTGGACGCAAAGATCCGCAAAGCTGAAAAAGAAGTCATAGCCCTGCAAAATACCATGCATGTGCTTAATAACTGCAACAGCAATTACCGGAACTCTTTTAAAACAGTGACAGAGACAAGTATGTAAAATGAACATTGTTATTACTTATGTGTTAGAGATTAAAGCATAAACCAGGGACACTGGAGCAAAGCAATGATACTAAAGGGCTGTATACTGAATAAATTAGCTACAGAACACACTGATAGTAGCAGAAGAAAGAATAATTTTGAATGTTGCTGTCAGTTCACCAGGGCAGAGTAGGTACAGGAAAAAGATGCTGTAAAGTTCAAGTTTTTTATTTTTATGCAAATTCTTAAACTTAAGGAAGGGTTGTGAAAACTCTCGAGTTCAGCAGAACCACAATGGGGAGGCATAAAGTGTTATAGAGAGACTGCACAAAGTGCCTCCACTGAAAGCCCATTCATCAGTGATAGAAGGAATGGCCAGTAAGTCTGCAAGTACTTGAATCCAGTGGCAGCACAGCAAGGCACGGTGGTTGTGAGGCACTGGTGAAGGCCTTATCGACAGTATTGTTTGTTCCTGTTTTCGTTATAGGGCAGCACTGTTATCTGGTAAAAAGGTGAGTTGAGGATTGTGCCATTGTTTGTGTACTGCATAGACAACTTTAAACAAGTTGAATCCCCACTGTACAGTTTGTGGAATCCTGTGGGACTTTATGTTGTTTGCCTTTTGTTGAGAGCTCATTGCAAATTTACAGCTTTCACAAGCTGCTTTTACAATCCGTCTTCTTTGTTTAGTCTGATTTATGCATCATTATTATCAATGATATCAATAACGGTGTGAAGACAGGGCTTGTTATTTAACTTTTGCGCCCTCTGCTGGTTTTACAGCAGTGGATCTTAAATCCTTATCCTTGATAAACCAGTCACTTTTCCCTTTGTTTTTAGGTGACTAGTTTGTGGAGTATTTAATTTAAAAAAAAAAAATTGAGGATATTCCCTGTAATTTTATAATCCATTAAAAGCAGGTACGGTGGGCACTTTAGGACACAGACTTCCTGTAAAGACGTCCTTTTTGGTTGTTCTTTTAACATTTCATGTATACATTTTATAGTACATCAAATATAGTACAGTATTTATTTTTTAGTTATATAGTTGAGTAACAAAATTATAAGTCTCCTAAAATACCTGTGGTAATAATTCTGCTGGAAAGTCCTGGAGGCTTCTCAAAAGCACTGTAGATAACATTAGAATGTTTAAGGCTCCCCCTTGCCCTGGTAGATGCTTTAATCAATGACCTAAATAATCAAATAGAGATTAAAGTGTTTCATAGGGTGCTTCAACCTTGTATTACCAACTATACTTCCTTTCTTTTGATTTACAAATACATCTGTTGTTCAGCAATTGATCATTGCAAGATCAGGCAGGTGAGTTGCTAAATGTACTGCCCAGTTTAGTATAATGCACAGTTGCAGATCCTCAAGGTCGCCTGGCAGAAGACTTCCGTTACCCTAGATATGGCCATAAATGATGTCTTTGTGTATTGTACTTGAATACATTTTGGTGCACTTATTTTAAAATACAGCAATAGTCTGTCTTTGGGATGAAAATCGAATGTCCTAAACATGTTAGTGTGCACACCTTGTACAATGTTTAAACTCTAACTCAGAGTGTTTGATATTGTAGGTGAGGAGTACAAAGAAAAGCTGCAATTAGAAGAAGAGAAAAGAGCTGCTGATGAAAAATACAGATACAAGCGAAGACAGATCAAGGAGCTTCAAGAAGACCTTCAGGTAATGGGCACATGAGATTGCCATTTGTATAGGTGAAGCCATAGTTTTCCTTAGCGTAGGAAATTTTTTCCCCCTCATGGATTAAGCAGCATTCTGGGAATATTTTTTCCTCACTCTCCTTTGTGAATTTTCTGCAACCCCTTTCCTATTGCTCATGGACACTAGATAAACTTTTCAAAAGTGTCAAACTCATAGAAGAGTCCAAGTCCCATTTTCAAAATGACATAGGCACTTACAAACTTAGGTGTTATT